GCCGACGCCGCCGACGCCGACGCCGACGCCGACGCCGACGCCGACGACACCGACGCCGACGCCGACGCCGACGCCTGTGCCGCCGCAGACGCCGACGTCGACGCCGATGACGACGACGGCGCCGGCGACATCGACGCCCACGCCGACGCCGACGCAAGAGACGGCGCCGACGCCGACGACGCCGACGCCGACGCCGCCGACGCGGACGACGCCGACGCCGACGCCGACGCCGACGCCGACGCCGACGCCGACGCCGACGCCGACGCCGCCGACGCCGACGCCGACGCCGACGCCGACGCCGACGCCGCGCCGCCGCCCCGCCGCCGAGCCAACCCGTCAGCGACGCTGGCGCCGGCGCATGACCGCCGAAGCCGACGCCGTCGTTGACGCCGACGCAGACGCCGCGAAGCGACGCCGAGCCGTCGGCCGCCGCCGACGCCGACGCCGATGCCGACGCCGACGCCGACGTCGCTACGCCGCGCCGACGCCGCGACGCCGACGCGACGCTGACGGTGACGCCGACGCCGCGACCGACGCCGACGCCGACGCCGACGCCGACGCCGGACGCGACGCCGACGGACGCCGACGCAGACGCAGACGCCGACGCCCACGCCGACGCCGACGCCGACGCCGTCGCCGGGTATTGAAACACACGCCGCTTGCCGCCGCCGACGCAGACGCGCACGACGCCGCCGCGCTCGCCGCCGCCGCGACCGCGCCGAGCGCCGACGACCGACGCGACGCCGACGCCGACGCTAACGCGGGCGACGCCGACGGACGACGCCGACGCCGACGGACGACGCCGACGCCGACGCCGGCGATGCCGACGCCGACGCCACCGACGCCGCCGCCGCCAACGACGCCGTCGCCGACGCCGACGACGACGACGCCGACGACGCCGACGCCGACGCCGATGCCGCGACGCCGATGACGACGCCGCCGTTGCTGACGCCGACGCCGACGCCGGACGCCGCCCCTCCGCCGCCAACGACGTCGAGCGCCGCCGCCGACAGCCGACGCCGACGCGACGCCTACGACGGAGCGGGATGATGACCGCCGCCGCCGCCGACTACGAGAGGTATGACGCCGCCGCCGCCGACGCCGACGCCGACGCCGCCGCCGACGCGACGATGACGATGCCGCCGAGACGACGATTGCTGCCCACGACGCGACGCCGACGACACCGACGCCGACGACGACGGACGACCGATGCTGCCGCGGACGACGAAGACGCCGACGGACCACCGACGCGACGACGACGACGACGCTGTCGACGACGCCGTCGCCGACGCGGCGCGCCGCCGCCGTCGAGGGAAAAAATAAACCCGGGGGGGGGGACGCGACGACGATGACGACGAAGTCGCCGCCGCCCGCCGCCGAGCCGACGCCGACGACAGTCCGACGCCGACACGCGGACGCCGCCCAGCCGCATGACGCCGACGCCGACGCCGACGCCGACGCCGACGCCGCCGACTCCGCCGACGCCGCCGCCGACGCCGACGCCGACGCCGACGCTGACGCCGACGCCGACGCCGCGACGACGCTGACGCCGACGCCGACGCCGACGACGCCGACGCCGACGACGCCGACGCCGCCGCCGACGCTGACGCCGACGCCGACGCCGACGCCGACGCCGACGCCGCCGACGCCGCCGACGCCGCCGCCGACGCCGCCGCCGACGCCGACGCTGACGCCGACGCCGACGCCCGACGCCGACGCTGACGCCGACGCCGCGACGACGACGACGCCGGCAACGACGACGACGACGACAACCGTACCCATTCCGGGCGTTCAGATCTTCCACTGGTGAGGCCCCTCGTGTGGGGTTGCGTGCTCCCTTGCCGACGGCCAGCACTCGCTCCGCGACGTCGCAGCACGTCTGCCCCGGCACTTCTTCGGCCACGCCGCGAACGCCACCGCCGCCGCCGCGGAGACCGCACCGCCCTCTCTCCTGCCTGCCTCGTGTGGCCTCCCTCCGCCCCCTCCGTCCCGCCCTCCCTCTTCTCATTATTCCTCCCTCTTCCCTCCTCCTCTCCTCCTTTCCCTCCTCCTCTCCGCCCGCCCCTCCTCCCTCTGCCCCTTCCTTCTCGTCCCTCCCGTGTTTCCCTCTCTTTCCCTCACCCCTCCCTCCTCCTTCTCGCCATCCTCCGTCCTCCACGCTGCTGCAGCTATCGCTGCCACCTGTGCGACTCGCCAGACCGACCCTGCGCGGTGGGCACGGGTGTTGTTGAGCGTAGCTGGCTCTTGCATGCGACGTGATCGACCCCGCGCCCTTCTCGGGAGGTCGTTCCGTCGCAGGCTCCCTGCCGATTGCGCTGCGCGATGGCGGGGAGGGAAAACAAGGGACGACGCGCAAACGGGCGGTTGCGAACGCACACGCGGGCGGCCAGGGCCGGCGGGACGAAACACAGGGCGGGCAGGAACAGGGAGAGGAAGAGGAGGTTGATGATGATGATGATGATGATGATGATGATGATGATGATGATGATGATGATGAGGAGGAGGAGGAGGAGGAGGAGGAGGAGGAGGAGGAGGAGGAGGAGGAGGAGGAGGAGGGTCCGCACCGCGGCCGCCACGTTGCGGTCCACTCCGAGGTCCTTCATGACGGCCTGGGGGTCGACCCCTGCCATGCTCGGGCCAGGCGAAAGGGGGGGATAGCAAAGGGGGTGTTCGAGAATCAGCTCACGTAGCTGATTTTCCCGGCGCCTCCCGGCGCCAGAGGCGTCTGTGTATCGAGGAATGATCCCCTCGGTGGGGCCGAAACCAGCTGCATGCAGCAGATTTCGTAACCCCCCTATCCCAATCTTGGGAGGCCTTTTGGGGGCATCATGGGGCGTCCAGGCGGCCTCTTGAGCCATCTTGAGGTCATCTTGGGCGTCTTCGGGCGATCGTTCGGCGACTCGGTACCCTCTTGGACCGTGGGGGCCTTTGAGCCGTCATGGGAGCCTTTGAGAGCCCCAGGGGGGCGCCATGGCCGCCCAGGAACCCCACGGGAGTAGAGGTGGTGCAGGTGGCTGGGTGCGTCCCGCGAAGGGGAGGATCCCTATACAGAAACCCTGCCAGGCAGCCCTTGACAGTGGCGGACAGAAACCCTACCAGTCAGCACTTGGCATTCGAGCACGCCCCGACGTGCCAGGGGGCACGTTCCGTGGCCATTTCGCCTGTAGCGTTTCTGTCCAGCAACGCCTTTTAGAGCCCTCGCACGTCCCTCACCGTCTGCGAGATGGAGATGCTCAAGACGTGGAGCATCAGGAGCAGCCGGTCGGCCAACTCGGACGAGACGCAGGAGGCGAGTTCCCAGGCTCCGCGCGAAGGGAGCTGCCACGCCCCCGTCAAGAGCTACGTCCACCCGCAGGGCGCGCCGCAGCCGCATGTACGGAGCAGGGACTGCTACGCGCCCGTGAAGGGCTACGCGGAGGCCTTGACGCAGCGGTGATGGGCGCCGTGTTTCGGAGCAGATCTTCCTGCCTCTCCTCCTCCTCCTCCTCCTCCTCCTCATCCTCCTCCTTCTCCTTCTGCTTCTCATCCTCCTCCTCCTCCTCCTCTTCCTCTGGAGCAGATGATCTTCCTGCTTGAATGTTGGCCGTCGTGGGCTGCGCCTTGTTGGCTCGCAGGCGCTGGCGCCGCTGCCGGAGCTTTCGGCGAATCCGTCGTGCCCGTGGCGCGCCATCCTCGATGCGCAGGGCGAGGCCGTGCTCCGCACAGGCGTCGATCCGTCCACCAGGACGAGTGAAGACCAGGGCGAGAGAAGGTCCCCATCTCGGGAGACTCTCCATGGGGGGGGATCCTAAGGGATCCACCCCCCTGGGATCCTATCCCCCCATGGGATCCCCCCCCATGAAGAGTCTCCCGACCATCTCCTCGGCCAGCGGCTCGTGCACCCGATGCATGGTCGCGGGGCCAATGGTTCTCTGTTTTCTGCTTGCTGGTGTGAGTGCTGCGCCCGCGGGTGCGGCACTCGCAGCCGTCCACATGTGGCTCAGAGAACGATGCAGATTAGAGCATCATCTCAGTAATTCTGACGTTTTCTGTGCTGCGCTTCTGGAGGGATTGCAACCTCGCCGGTCGAATCGTACGGCGAGCGATCCACCTACTCCAGCATTTGCTGGCTTTCTGCAGCGAGGACTTTGGCGCGCCTCATTACGCATTCCCCGGGCCCCTCAGACTGCCGCTGCAGTCTCCTCGTGCAGCCGCCTGCTGCCTTCGACATTGTGGGCTGTCGCCTTTCCAGTTCCTGTCGCTTCTCCATCTCGAGCAACCACTCGCGTCTCTCTCTCTCTCTCTCTTTCTCTGCCTCTCTCTCCGAGGGCGCACCCGAGCTCCTTGGAGCAAGTCATCCTTTTGTTGAGGTGTTCTTATTGGTGCAGGCTTGTGAAGCTTGTCTAAGTTACTTTCTTTCACGCTGCCATGCCACCGACTTTTTTCATTCCTTCCTGGAGGGCGCCCCTCGCGAGGAGTAGAATGTCGCCTCAGGTCTGCGGCTCTTGCCGAAGCGTGTCGCCAGGAAAAAAACATAAAAAACATGCCAGGGGGCACGTTGGTGGATATCCATGCAGTTGTTCATTCGTCCAGAGACGGGAGGTCGATGCTTCCCTCTCCAGGGAGCCGTCCAGAGTGATCTTTCTCTGGCTACGCTTCTAGACCATTTTGGGGCCCGCCTAACGGAGCTGTTCGACTCAAGGTCGACGCAGGTTCAGGCTCAAGTTCGACTCACGTCGACGGATGTTCGACGCAGCACCGACGCACGAGTGGGGCGAGTGGCTCTGGGGAAGGCCCCCCGGAGCGAGCATCTGACACCGTCGGCCGTCCTGAGGTCGCAGTGGGCCGTCTTGGAGCCATCATGGGGCCGTCTTGGAGGCATCTTGGCCTCGGGAGCGCGATTTCGTAGTTTTTTCCGGTGGATTCTGGCCTCGGGAGTGCGAATCTGTCGTACAGTGGGGGCGCGCATCAAGAAACCATTTGCTACTCGTCAGGGTATCCTGGATTTCTTCGCTCCGCGCGCCGCGCGGTGGCTTCCCGCAGCCGTGGAAGGAGCGGCTGCGTTCAGGGTGCTCCGGGTTTCTTCTCGGGTGCACCTCGCGCGCGGTTTTTTTTTAGGGTCGGGTTTTTGCGAGGGTTTCTTGCGGCCGCGCCCGTACTGTTCAGTGGAAAGCTATGCCAAGGAACACCCTGCTTGCCTCCAGGGTGCCCTGGGTTTTCATGGGTTTCGATGGTTTGGCTATTTCACGCGTGACGCTCCCACACCATAGATCACCTGGAAATCCCGGGCTCTCAGGGTTTGGTTTCTTGCGGGAGGTCTCTTGTGGGCGAGCTCCTCGTGTATTTTGAGTGGCTCCGCGAAGGTCCCCAGAGCGAGCATCTACGTAGGAGGAGGATGTTGATGAGGATGAGGAGGGGGGAGGAGGAGGGTGAGGGTGAGGGTGAGGAGGAGGAGGAGGAGGAGGAGGAGGAGGAGGAGAATCTACAGCCTCCGGCCCTGCCCCGCCTCCCCTCATCCCCGTCGCTGGCGGGCCCCGCGGGGAGCCGAGAGGGGGCAGGCCTTCTCGGAGGGCGGCGGGGCTGCTTAGAGGCCCGCGCGCCTTCTCCTCCTCCTCCTCGTGCTCCTCCTCGTCCTCGTCCTCGTCCTCGTCCTCGTCCTCCCCCTCCCCCTCCTCCTCCTCCTCCTCCTCCTCCTCCTCCTCCTCCTCCTCCTCCTCCTCCTCCTCCTCCTCCTCCTCCTCCCTCCTCCTCCTCCTCCTCCTCTCCTCCTCCTCCTCCTCCTCTCCTACTCCTCGTCCTCCTCCTCCTCCTCCTCCTGCTCCTCCTCTTCTTCCTCCTCCTCCTCCTCCTCCCCTTCCCCTCCTCCCCTCCTCCTCCTGAACCTCCTCGTCCTCCTCCTCCTCCTCCTCCTCATCCTCCGCCTCCTCCTCCTCTTCTTCCCTCCTCCTCCTCTCCTTCTCCTTCTCGTCCTCCTCCTCCTCGTCCTCCTCCTCCCCCCCTCCTCCTCCTTCTCCTCGTCCTCCTCCTCCTCTCCTCCTCGTTCTCCTCCTCCTCCTCCCTCCTCCTCTCCTCCTCCTCCTTCTCCTCCTCCTCCTCCTCCTCCTCCTCCTCCTCTTCCTCTTCCTCCCCCCTCCTCCTCCTCCTCCTCCCGAGAAGCCGTCCGTGGCCTCGTGCGATCTAGCCAGGTCTTCAACCGAAATGTTGAGTGGGGCGTGTCTCTCTGCAGGAGGAAGATTCACAAATAGTCAAAAGAATAGCCAGGGGACGATGTTTCTATTCTGGTTGACTTTGCTTGAGTATGTTCTTTAAACTTTCTATGTGTCTTCCAACATCCGCATGTGGGAGGAGATGCCCGACCGAACCGAACTGTTCAAGACCCCATTTTTTAACGAGTCGGGCCCCATCTTTTCCAGGGTACGCAGACAGCTGCTCAGAAGGCTGGAGGCCTTCTGAGCCTTTAGGCAGCCCCGCCCCGTCTGCCTGCCCTCGCCCCTCGGGTCCCCGCCACTCCCCCTGCCCCCGCAGCCGGCTTCGTCGGGCGCTGAGGCGTGCCGTGTCGGCCTCTGGCATCTCTAGCTGCTGCCAGGTCAGCTTTCAGTCGAGTAGGAGATCGACCGCATAATTTATTGACTCCATTTTTTTGTGTTTTGTTTTTTTCTTCGTAGACTCTACAAACAATACGTACAATGTTCCGTAGATCTACCAAGAGCTCTGCCTGGTCCACGTAGATTCGATGGAACAATCAATTCTGGCATCAATCAATCATGTAGTCGATCCCCTGCTCGACTCGGGGATGTCGGGGCCTCCCCGTTTCTCGGCTTTGCTTTTCCCGACTGCCAGTGGCAGCACCGCGCTGTGGCCGGGACCTGACTCTGCATCGCGCACAGGCTGACAGTCGGCCTCCTGTGGCCTGGAGGTCTGAAGGCCCCCGGCCAGTGCCCCACCCGAGCAGCCAGGTCGGGGCTCACGAGACGGGGGTCAACGCAAATGGCGGTCAGTCAGAGCGGCAGATCTTGCAGGAACCTGCAGAGCCAGGGGTTCACTGACCCCGGGGTTGCGTGCAGGATCCTGCAGGATCCTGTAGGATCTTGCAGGATCTTGCCAATCCCGACTGACCCGGGTATTATTGATTGACCCGGGTCAGGATCGGGGGAACGTAAGATTCGAATAAGCCGGAACTCGGGTTTGCCGACGCTTTTTGACGAGGGCGTCCTGAATTTTGACGGTCTGGTTTTCGTGGGATGTTTGCATCGGGAGTTCGCGTCAAATTTCAGATCGGGTCCCGTCATTTTCATGATGACCCCGTCAGGGCAACCCGAGTCCCCCGAACCCGAGTCTTACGTCTCCCCGACAGTACAGTCAACCCGACTAGTAAGGATGGGCAATCGTCCCAAGGGTACCTTTGCATCCTTGCCTCCTCGGCCCATCCTTGGCCACTTTCGTTGGCCGCGCCCCGCTCGAAAAGCCTCGACGTGGCCTTCCAAGGCCCTTGCATTCTTATCGCGCATCCTTACTGTACTGGCTGACTGCAGATCCGCGGCCAGGAGCTGAGGCTGCTGTCGCCCGACGCGCCGGTGAACGGGGTGCACGACGAGCTACGCGAGGCACGGCGGAAGGGCTTCTATGCGGGCGCTCTGCGCGCGCCCTGCCGCTCCCGGCTCTGGGGTTTCTGGAGGAGGCGAAGGAGGAGGAGGCGTGAGGCGGAGGAGTGAGGCGGAGGAGGAGGAGGCGGAGGAGGAGGCGGAGGAGGAGGAGGAGGAGGAGGAGGGTTTCCGGAGGCCGACTCGGGGGGGCCCTAAGACGGGGGTCAATGCAAAGTCAGAGGAGAAAAAGGTACACATACCGCTACCCTGCCCCCGTTTTCCGCTTTTTGTGCCTCTTGGAGGGCCCTCGTCGCCACCGCTGGATTCGCCTCGAAATTCTGGTCAGAACGCACCCCAGGAGAGGTCTTGGGAGTAGCGGTATTGTTTGTTTGCTAAACACACTTTCTTGTGCGTGGAGCTGGCGTGCGGTTGAAGGGAGTGCTGGGGGCCGTCGTGCGTGTCGCAGGCCTTGTGTGTGCTATATTGCGCGCTCAAGTTTTTTGGCTCAACATATTTTGGGCCAGCCTGCGGCTGACCTGGACGCAGGCGCCACGTTTGCCAAAGAGCACCTCCTAATTGGCCTCCTCGCCCTCCTGGGCTTCTCTGTTCATCTCGGCTGACGCTGGGACGACGACGGGGAGGAGGCCGCTGAGGCGCCCAGTTGCGCAGAAGCTCGAGACGATACGAAGCTCGCCGCAGGAGTCGGCGAGAGTGCATTCGAGAAGGGTACGAGGAGTTTGGAGATGGCGCCCAGGTGTCGATGGAAGCGAGTCTGTGCGAGGGCGGGGCTGCATGGAACGTCGGGAGCTGTCATGCGGTCAGTTGTCCTTGACAGCAGGGACAGGGACAGCTGTTCCTGGTAAGGGACAGTCCTTGACAGCAGTTGATCCGACGGGCCGTGGGCAGCTCACAGATCTGCGTGACATGCAGAAGTACGGGGCGAAGCCGACGGACGGAGTGCAGTGGAGTGACCATCCTGGGCTCACCCGGTTCCTGAGGGAGAAGAGTATTGTGGCCTCAGACAGGTTGATCGCTCGTTTTGCCATTCAGAGTTCGTCGAGTTCGGCTCCGGTTTTCCCGACGAAGCCAGCTGCGGCCAAGGAGTTGTTCGGCGAGGGCCAGGGCAACAAGACCAACGTCGCGTCCTGGGCCCTCGGCGGTGCCTTTACGTCAGGAGTGTGGACCTTCGCCAGGGCGCATTATGGTTTTGTAGCAGGAATGCTCTCCGTTGTCTGGCGTGTGGCGCGAAGGCTTGGTGTGCAGCCGAGCGGTCGAGATGTGGGACGATGCTGATGGCCTCATGTCATGCATCTCGGTGCTGCAGGGGTCGAGGGAGTTGGAGTTCATCCTGGTACGTGTCGGTGGTGTCTTTTTGTTCAGCTTTGGCCTGTTTTCCTTGTGGATCGACTCGGGGTCCGAGTGCGACTCAGATGGCGAGATGTTTCGGGGAACGGAGGTTCCCGATTCAGATGACGAGCCTGTCCCTGCTGCGTTGATGACGGAGATTTTCAGGAACCAGCGAGCCCTGCAGGAGAGCCTTGCGCAGTGGCCCTCCAGACCAACTCGCGGTGCCGCAAGATCCACGGCGGAAGTGGCCCAAGGTGGGTTGCTCGCGGGCCGTGTCGGGCTTGCCTGCTCTGGTTGCCTCGGCTCAGGACGACGGTTCGCAGATCGACGATTTCATGAGAAAGTTGAATGGATCACGAGGCCATTGTCCGTAAGGGTGCTGGTCCTACGTCGGGCGCGCGCGCAGGGCCATCCCAGGCGGTTCTTCCAGGTGTCGGTCAGTGTCCTCCGCGAGCTCAGGACGGTGGTTTTGGTGGCTCTGCCGCGGACATGGACCGCCAGATCTCCATCCTCAGCAACGGGAGCTTTGACATGCAGGTGGAGCTCCTCCAGACCTTGAAGCGCTGCCAGAGCCGTGCACGGGAGGCGCTCACTGTCAGCTCCAGGCTCTACAAAGGGAGCAGGT